AACCAGCAGGCGGCCGAGCAGCTGCGCCTGGAGGAGACGGCGGCCGAGTTCCTGCAGCGCAGCTTCAACCTGGCGCACCAGGAGGCGCGGCGCTGCCTCGGCCGCTTCGGCCTCGAGGGCCACGCCCACACGCTGCAGATGGCCAAGCTCTCGGGTGGGCGGGGCCCGGGGGCGTGGCTAGCGCCTGGGGGCGTGGCTAGCATGTGGGAGAGTGTGGCTAGCATCTGGGAGAGTGTGGCTAGTGCCAGGGAGGGTGTGGATAGCGCCTGGAGGACATGGCTAGTGCCTGGGAGGGCGTGGCTAGTGCCTGAGAGGGTGTGGCTAGTGCCTGGGAGGGCGTGGCTAGTGCCTGGGGGGCGTGACTAGCATGTGGGAGGGCGTGGCTAGTGCCTGGGGGGCGTGGCTAGTGCCTGGGGGGCGTGGCTAGTGCCTGGGGGGCGTGGCTAGTGCCTAGGAGGTGTACCTATCATCTGGGAGGGTGTGGCTAGAACCTGGAGGGCGTGGCTATCATCGGGGAGGGCGTGGCCAGCAGCCGTGGGGGCGTGGCCAGCAGCCGTGGGGGCGTGGCTATCATCCATGAGGGCGTGGCCAGCAGCCGTGGGGGCGTGGCCAGCAGCCGTGGGGGCGTGGCCAGCAGCCGTGGGGGCGTGGCTATTCATGAGGGCGTGGCCAGCAGCCGTGGGGGCGTGGCTATCATCCATGAGGGCGTGGCCAGCAGCCGTGGGGGCGTGGCAGCAGCCGTGGGGGCGTGGCTATTCATGAGGGCGTGGCCAGCAGCCGTGGGGGCGTGGCCAGCAGCCGTGGGGGCGTGGCCAGCAGCCGTGGGGGCGTGGCCAGCCGCCGTGGGGGCGTGGCCAGCAGCCGTGGGGCGTGGCCAGGCCCCAGGTGGGCGTGTCCCGGCGGCGCTGACCCCGCCCCTCCCCGCAGGCGGCCAGAAGGCGCGCGTGGTGTTTGCCGAGCTGGCGTGCCGCCAGCCCGACGTGCTCATCCTGGTGAGGGCGGGGCCAAAGGGGGCGGGGCCGGCCGTGACCTCGCCCGAGTGACCCCTGACCCCTCCTGACCTTTGACCCCCAGCCCTGGGAGGGGCCTGGGTGTGGGTTGGGTGTGGCGAGGGGGCGTGGCCACGCCGGGAGGGGCGTGGCCACTCTGGGATGGGCGTGGTTTCCCTGGGAGGGGCGTGGCTGCTTTGGGGTGGGTGTGGCCACTCTGGGATGGGCGTGGCTTTTTTGGGGGGGTGGAGCCACTCAGGAAGGGGCGTGGTCTCATTGGGAGGGCGTGGCCGCTCTGGGAGGGGCGTGGTCTCTTTGGAATGGACATGGTTTCCCTGGGAAGGGCGTGTCTGCTTGGGGTGGGCGTGGCCTCTTTGGGATGGGCATGGCCTCTGTGAGAGGGGTGTGGCCACTCTGGGATGGGCGTGGCCTTTCCAGAAGGGGCGTGGCCTCTCCTGATGGGCGTGGCTGTTCTGGGAGGGGGTGTGGTCACTCTGGGGTGGGCGTGGCCTCGAGGAGTGTGGCCTCTCCTGATAGGCGTGGGTGTCCCGGGAGGGGCGTGGCCTTTCTGGAAGGGGTGGAGCCGCTCTGGGAGGGGGCGTGGTTTCCCTGGGAGGGGGCGTGGTTTTCCCGGGAGGGGGCGTGGCTGCTCTGGGATGGGCGTGGCCTCTCCTGAGGGGCGTGGTCTCCCTGGGAGGGGGCGTGGCCTCCCCGCGAGGGGCGTGGTCTCCCTGGGAGGGGGCGTGGCCTCTCCTGAGGGGCGTGGCCTCTCCTGAGGGGCGTGGCCTCTCCTGAGGGGCGTGGCCTCTCCTGAGGGGCGTGTCCTCCCCGCGAGGGGCGCGTCCTCACGCTGCCGCGGCCGCAGGACGAGCCCACCAACAACCTGGACATCGAGTCCATCGACGCCTTGGCCGACGCCATCAACGACTACAAAGGAGGTGGGGCCGGGGGGGCGGGGCGGGGCGGGCGCGGTGACGTCACGGTGACGTCACGGTGACATCACGGTGACGTCACAGCGGTGATCGTGGTGAGCCACGACGCGCGGCTGATCACCGAGACCGGCTGCCAGCTGTGGGTGGTGGAGGAGCAGGGCCTGAGCCAGATCGACGGCGACTTCCACGACTACAAACGCGAGGTGCTGGAGGCCCTGGGCGAGGTGGTGGCGGCGCGGCCGCGCGACTGACCCGCCCAGGGACCCGAGTGACCACCAGAGTGACCCGAGTGACCACCGGAGTGACCACAGAGACCCACGGAGTGACCAGAGTGACCACAGAGACCCACGGAGTGACCACGGTGACCATCAGTGACCACAGCGACCATCAGAGTGGCTGCGGTCACTGCGGTGACCATGGTGGACACAGCGACCACCAGAGTGACCTCAGTGACCACTGCGGTGGCCACACTGGCTGCAGTGACCATCGCAGTGGCTGCACTGACCACAGTGACCATCAGAGTGACCACGGTGACCACTGCGGTGGCCACACTGGCTGCAGTGACCATCGCAGTGACCGTCGCAGTGACCATCGCAGTGGTTGTGGTCACCACGGTGACCAGAGTGACCATCGCAGTGGTTGTGGTCACCACGGTGACCAGAGTGACCATTGGAGTGGCTGCGGTCACTCTGGTGACCACGGGACAAGGGAAGGAATAAACGGTGGTGGAGCAATGGCGGCGTGGGCGTGGTCATTTGTGGGCGTGGTAATTGTGGGTGTGGTCATTGTGGGTGTGGCCATTGTGGGCGTGGTCATTGTGGGTGTGGCCATTGGGCGTGGTCAGTCCAGTGACATCCCCGCCCCCTCCCCAGGAGTTCCCAAAGTGACCAGATGACCCCAGGGTGACCCCAATGACCCCAGGGTGACCCCAATGACCCCAGAGTGACCCCAGGGTGACCCCAATGACCCCAGGGTGACCCTGGTGACCCCAGGGTGACCCCAATGACCCCAGGGTGACCCCAGGGTGACCCCAGGGTGACCCCAATGACCCCAGGGTGACCCCAGGGTGACCCCAGTGACCCCAGGGTGACCCCGGTGACCCCAATGACCCCGGTGACCCCGCCCCTCCCCCA